CTACTACTTGCATTCATTTTGCCTGTATTGAATATATAGATTTTGAAACTATAATGTTGAATTTAAACTTTGTGATAATGTACACATTGATCCTTCCTCAAACTCTGAGATGATTTTGCCAGTTTGTGATCTCACCTTAATTAAGTGGGTACAGTGTTTATTTGTTTGTTTGTTTGTGGTTCATTTAAAGCCAGAGTGACTCCATGTTGTTTGCCAATAATGGAAAAAGAAAAATATATATAAAATTCTTCTTAGTCTGATTTATTTTTAGTAGAAATAGCAACAATTGCTAAATTTGAGTAATACCTTGTAGTTGACAATAAGCTTTCCCTCCTATGCTCATTTAATAAATTCTTTGTATCGGGGCGCCTGGGTGGCTCAGTTGGTTAAACGACTGCCTTCGGCTCAGGTCATGATCCTGGAGTCCCGGGATCGAGTCCCGCATCGGGCTCTCTGCTCAGCAAGGGGTCTGCTTCTCCCTCTGACCCTCTTCCCTCTCGTGCTCTATGTCTCTCATTCTCTCTCTCTCAAATAAATAAATAAAATCTTTAAAAATAAATAAATAAAAAATAAATAAATAAATTCTTTGTATCAATATATAAAATGTGTTAACCACTTGAAGGGAATTAGAAGAGAAGAAAGGGCAAGATATTTATTGAGCAGACTGTTAATGATCACTTTATTAGTTGATTTATGTATATTATAAAACCATTGCCAATGACAAAAATATTCCATAATCCCCAGTCATCTTTGTGTGTCTCTATTTCTATGAGTTCAGCAGACTATAACGATTACAAAACATTAGCAAGACAACACAATTCAAAATTTAAGGGATTTCTTTAAAATAATTTTTTTAAAGATTTTATTTACTTATTTGACACAGAGAGAGAGAGAGAGAGAGCACAAGCAGGGGGAGCAGCAGGCAGAGGGAGAAGCAGGCTTCCCTCTAAGCAAGGAGCCTGATGCAGAACTCGATCCCAGGACCTTGGATCATGACCTGAGCCGAAGGCAGACGCTTAATGACTGAGACATAATTTGCCAAATATTTTTCCAAACACATTTCCTTTTCGTGTGGGTTTCAAACAACGTTTAAATACAATGTCCCCAGTGAAAGTAAATAGATAGCACTCAATTGGAAAATTTCTGGAAATAATTTGCTTAAATCTGTAACCATGTGCTAGCTTAGAGAACACATTACACTAGTCCCAGTCAAGTTCAGAGATGGTGTAGAGCAAAGCCCCAGTTGAAAAGATGGGCTCCCAGCAGAGATCCCTCCGATAGCATTTATGTCTGTGTCCAGAACAGCACAGGAAAGGATTCTCCTTCTAAGCTTAAACACAGGTGTGGCCCTGATTTTCCTAATGGGATCACTTTTCATTATTTCACTGTTTTCAGAAATTTTATTAAAATATTGTCAATGCTCTCCTCTGTGGAAAATAGCGATGAAGTGCGTAAGAGGAAACAACTTTAGCGTGTTCCATTTTCATCCTGGTTGAGGTCAAACACAACAAATAGGTGTCTTATTCCTGACAATCGTCAACCTAATGTTTTGTCTAGGTTCATATTTTAATGTAAATTAAGGACTTTGGCAAGATGATGTATATCTGTTCCTTATATTTCTAAATAGATACAAAGTTTTCATCAAGGAAAGGACTTCCTTTTTTTTAGTGCATTTTTTAAAAGATTTTATTTATTTATTTGCCAGAGGCGGGGGGGAGAGTAAAAGCAGGGGGAGTGGCAGGCAGAGGGAGAAGGAGGCTCCTTGCTTCGATGTGGGACTCAATCCCAGGACCCTGAGATCATGACCTGAGCCGAAGGCAGACGCTTAACCATCTGAGCCACCCAGGCACCCCTTTAGTGCATTTTTTATACTTTTAGTAATTTGGCTCTGGGCAAAGGAAAGCAAATGGCAAAGTGTCTTATCTCTGCAGCAGAGATAAGACATATAACTAGGATACTGCAGAGTATTATCTTTCCTTTGCTCTATGAATATAGCTTTGTTTGACTTCTGTTAATTCTCAGAGCTTTTTAAGAAAGAGAAAATGTGTCTAATGATTTCATTCGGCATCCTGAATAGATTTTGTTACATGTCACATGTATAATTCTGTTTTTGTCGAAATTAAGGATATTTGATATCTTGAATCCTTAAACCCAAGTGCAAATAAGTTAATTTGGGAATTGTAAAATTTTATTAGTTATTTTTAGGATTGAATGTATTGTCAGAGAAAATGGCAATATTAGACCCTCCAAATTTATTATTTATTTATTTATTTATTTATTTGAGAGAGCACGAGTGAGAGCAAGAGGGGGAGGAGCAGAGGGAGAGAGAGAATCTTAAGTAGTCTCCACACCCAGTGTGGAGCCCGATGCGGAGCTTGAACTCAGGACTCTGAGATCATGACCTGAGCCTAAATCAAAAGTTGGATACTCTGGTTTCTCTTCAGATCGTATAAATCTTTTGCCTTTTACTAAATCAAAAGTTGGAAGCTTTGGGATGCCTGGGTGTCTCGGTTGGTTAAGCGTCCGCCTTTGGCTCAGGTCATGATCCCAGGGTCCTGGGATAGAGTCCTGCATCGGGCTCCCTGCTCAGCAGGGAGCCTGCTTCTCCCTCTGCCTGCTGCTCTCCCTGCTTGTGCATGCTCTCTCTCTCTCAAGTAAATAAATAAAATCTTTAAAAAAAAAAAGTTGGAAGCTTAACCAATTGAGCCACCCAGGCACCCTTGGACTCTCCAGATTTATTTACTTTATTTTATTTTAGCTTTTTTTAAAATTTAAATTCAATTAGCCAATGTATAGTGGACCCTCCAAATTTAAATACGAAAGGACCCTTTAAAATGTTGAAGATAACGCAAACTGTGAAGAAGAGAGTGAATGAGTGAGTGAGGGAGAAAAGCAAGGGGAGCTTCAAAGACCTTATGCCCTCTCCTCTAGTTGACTATAAAAATTTTCCGTTCTGTTTTTCTGGTTGTAAATCGTCCCACTTCTGTGGTGCATACTGTGCACTGTGGTGTCCCCCAGGATCTCCGGAGGCTGTCCTTAGTTTCACTCCCATCTCCCCAGCCTGGCTTATTTTACTTCACCAATATAAAGTGTCAACTACCCTTCAGCTGAAGCTTCTCAAGAGGGCTGTGCTCAGTCACCCTCTCTGTGCTTACTTCACTACAGTTTCAGGCACTCATCAAACCCCAGTGTTAGCCCCACCTCCTTCAAAGACCTGTGGCATTATTCTCTCTGAGCAGTTCACTTGTGTGAAAACCAAAGAGAAGCATCAAGTTTAGGGAGATATTTCCAATCACAGATACCAGTGTCCTCTGCAGGATTAAGTTAGCTCAGTCTACCTATGGCTAAACCCCAATTTGACCTTTTCCCATCCTTTTCCATTATATTCCTCCACATACTCTGTAGCATAGTCACACCGGAAACTTCTTCGAAAACATACATTTTCCTCCTCTGTGCTTTGTTTGATATATGACACTTCCCTCTGAGTATGCGAGTGTTAAGCTAATGTTTCTGGACTCTTTACTGTGTGCCAGGAACTATGCTAAAGGTTTTATTAAAATTTGTCATTTAGTGCCACAGCTCTGCTATGAACCAGAACTATTACTTTACACAGATGAAGAAGCTCAGGTGTAATGAGGTCTAATAACTTCACCTCCTAAGATCCATTTCTCCAAAGCGATATGTCGCCCCACTTGAGCATTACTTTGAAACCAGTGAAGTGCTGTGCGGTGCAGAGTCAGTGGAACACCTTTTGATGAATAAGCTTTATGATTCGGATGATGTGAATTCTTTGCAATATTTAGCCTTTTTTTTCTTATATCAAAAATCTGTACATCTTTTCGGGCTCAATTCATATGTGACCTCCTCAGTCTCTCTAGTGAGACTCTCAGCCCCATGCTCTGCATCACAGCCGTTTCTGCTGCCTTCCTACTCACTGGCAGGTCCATGACCAGCATGACCAGCATCACCTGGAGCTTTTGAGAAGAGCAGACCATGGCTACACTCAGCAACTACTGAATCAGGGCTTCCATTTTAATGGGAGCAAGTTCCAGATGATTCATACAGATAGTAAAGTTTGGGAAGCAAAGTACTAGATACTTCTTTCTGCATTTCATTATTCAAAACAACTAATTATTATTCCTCTTTGCCTGAGATTTTCCAAACAGAAGGGCTAGTGTGTTATTTATATTTGTCTCACTCAGAGTGACTAGGCTAATACTTCCCATATGGATGCTACTCGACACATTTTTATTAAATGTATTTATTAAACTGAGAGCAAATTCCATGGGAGTTATACCTTTATATTTCCCATAACTCAGAGAAACAATATTCTCTACACTCTAAGTTCTAGGAATGTAGTTATTCTATCTATTTAGTTCCTGTGGTGCCTACCTAGCACATGGCAGGTACTTCAGTGATTGACAATGAAGTGAAGCACTGAGTAAACTAATCAAGATGATTGATCAGTGTATCAAAGAGAGTGTTTTAGAGGTATAATTTTACTTTGAATTTATTTAGTTAACAAATACCGAGGAGAACTTATGTATCAAGGAGTGGTATGAGGGTTTTTTTGGTATAAGTTCTTTACAAATATTAACTTGCATTCTGAACTAAGATTGCTTGGTCAAGCATAAATCTATGTTCAATCAATAAAGGTTGACTTGGATACCTCATTCAATTCTAATATACCATATAGCACATCTATTTTAGGTCTTTTTTTTTGCAGATGAGTAATTAATGTGCCATAGTTGATATAAACCAGCAGTATTTAAACAATTTTTAAATATTTTCCTTTCATCAAATGAATTGTAAGTAAACCCTTCAGTACATGGTATGCTACTCACTTCTGCTTGGTATTAAAATAGAATATCCAGATATTTCAGCAGAAACCCATAATCCATTTCAGAAGGACTCTGACAAATTCAGTCAGGTTTCATATTATAATATATGTTATATGCTTCATGCACTGATCATATATGTACATGATTTTATATTTGAAGGGAGGGAAGATCCCAATCCGATGGACATCACCAGAAGCTATTGCTTACCGCAAGTTCACGTCAGCCAGCGACGTATGGAGTTATGGGATTGTTCTCTGGGAGGTGATGTCCTATGGAGAGAGACCATACTGGGAGATGTCCAATCAGGATGTAAGTATTTGTAGTCAATGAATTATGGTTTCAGATTAAGAGATCAAGCTGTGCAAGGAAGTGGAGCATAATGAAACCAGGTGGCTCCCAGTTTGTGACACTGAAATAGAATCCTTAGAAGAAATGAAATAGTTTCCAAGTCTTGCAAGGATATTAATTGAGTTGCTCTTTCAGTTTTACATGTTTCCCTGAAGCAGGGGTTTAGAAATGAGAGAAAATGAAGACATTTGTAACAAGAATGTAATGAAATAAGTGATCGAAAAGATAGTCAATAGATATGGGGGACTGTTTGAAGTACTTTTACTGCAAAATTGTTTCTATGTAACACTAATAAGCCACATGTCTGCCATCCTTTGTAGATTTAATTAATGCATCTATGCCAATATTTTGTTTATTTAAACAGAGTATTTCCCAACGTCAGACAAAGCAACCGATCTCTAGTGTGTTGTTTCTCTTAATGTATTAAACTTGCATGTGAATTTAGTCATACGAATTGAAGTATCTGGATGGAAAAATAATGTTAAACTTTCTATTGTAACTGTGATATGATTTTTGAAAAGAACTTTTGTTTTTAGAGGTCATGTCTTGCAAATGCCTAGTAAAAGGATGCTGTTGACATGGGATCAGGCACTCAGAGACTTGTCTTTATGCTTAGCCAAAGACTTTGAGCATGATCTCAAAGATACATGAGATGGAAAGCTGAGATGCTTTTAGTCATTTGCTACTCACTACATATAAAACTGCTTTTACTGTATTTGCATTTAAAACCTTTCTGTACTTTTCCAATCCAGCTATTTTTATAATAGTGCTGAGAAAATCAGACTCACTTTTCCACATCTCTATTTTCCAAACTTTCTCTGTATTAGAGGATCTCAAAGTGTGGGCTCTGGACCAGCAGCCTTAGCAGGGCCTGGGAATTTGCAGTAATGCAAATTCTCAGGCCTTCCACTAGACTTATGGAATCAGAGGAGAGCAATCTATATATTAAGTCCTCCAGATTATTCTGATACACAGCAAGTTTGAAAAATCACTGTTTTATGTGATTTAAAGGTACAAATGAACTAATAGTTACTTCATTGTTCTGCACATAGGATTTTACCTAAGGAACTTAACTATGATTTGGAAGATACCATTTCAATGAAGTATAACAAAATCTGTCAACTTTTTTCTGCATTCATTCACATATGAACAATATTCCATATAAATCTGTATTACCAAATAATAATTTCTTTATAACTCATTGAATCTCCTATATCACAGAATGTTTCTTCTGATTTTCATCTGAAAAGGAGCTTTACAAATGCTTCTTTCCCAAATTCACTCTCTCTCTCTCTCTCTCTCTCTCTAGATCTTCCTTTATATAACATTTCTGGGCAAGAATAATCACTTATTTATTTGATAAGCTGTCATCCTTTTAAGTAACTGAAAATGAGAACTTTTCCACTTAACTTTAAAATATTCATATTGGTGTACCCTTCCCACGGAGAATAAAAGGAGTTTCAGTTCTGAAGTCCCTGGAAACTGCTTCTCACACAGGTGATTAAAGCTGTGGATGAAGGCTATCGGCTGCCGCCCCCCATGGACTGCCCAGCTGCATTGTATCAGCTGATGCTGGATTGCTGGCAGAAAGACAGAAACAACAGACCCAAGTTTGAGCAGATTGTCAGCATTCTGGACAAGCTTATCCGGAACCCAGGCAGCCTGAAGATCATCACCAGTGCTGCAGCAAGGTGACACTTGGATTTTGCATTCTGCTCTCACTCAGAAATTAATGCATTTTCTATCTCCATTGTGTTAATTTTCTTCTCCCACTTCCCTAACTGCATTCTCTGAAACTCGTATTCCTGAGGACTGGAGAAAAGTGTCTTTATTTTCTTCCTTAAAACAAAACAAAACAAAACAAAAAAACTTTCGAGAGAAATTCTTATGTTGCTTAATCGTAATGATGAAATTCGGAGATATTTTTAACTTCCAACTTGACCAGGAGTGAGTCTACATTCAGGCTTGTGTTTACGTCTTCGGGAAATAGGAACGCCAGACACATAGCTTCTTTTCACTCTCCACTATTTAAACAAAAATTTTTTAAAGGAAAAAATAAGAAATGTCCTAGAGTGCTGGTGAATTCTAGTGAAGTCCTAATTCTTTCCTCATTTAAAATAAAGCTTCAAAAATAATAATGCTTCTAAAACATTGCACTGGCCAGCAGAATGCAATCCCCCCCCATACCGTCTAACTAAACAAACATTTGTTGAACCCATGTTGTGTGCCGATCACTTTGTTAGACACTGTAGAGAACAAAACTGAGAATAAAATAATGTCAGTGTCCCCCCGACAAAAGACAAACGTCAGTACATCAAAGTTATAATGCAATCCCGAATGCACGACATCCATTAGATTTTACTCATATTCCTCCTAGCTGAGAATCACTGAGTTTTCTTAATGATTTTGAAGAACGTAAGTTAAAGTGTATCTAAAAAGTGCAATTGAAGAAATGGGGAATGAGAGATGAATTTTGTCAGGGGCCATGAGAAGGAAAAAAAAAGTGTTAATATATTTAGTACTTCTCAGAGAAGCTAAAGGCAAAGCCAACTGTCATGTTTAAAGATTTATATTCTCATTGTACACAGAAGAGCAAAACAGTTCTTTTCCATTCTGATGATATGTGCTCTTATAGGACAGTTACATGGTTTTAGTAAAAGAACTATACTTAGTGTGCATATAAATCCACAGTACTAAGTGGGATGTATAAATGCTACATAGTGATGATTTACTGTGACTCATGTAAAAGGGTGTAAAAGGTATAATATAATGTCTTATTGGAAGGAGTTTGTTTCTTTTTTGCTGTCTTTACTGATAATCGCCGAGAATTATGACTTTCAAATTGATAGAGCATTTCCAGTTGCACTTTATCATAGCATATATGATTTTTAACATTAAGAGGAACAATTATATTGAGACTACATGATCCAGGTTTTGCACTATATTTGGATAAAATGAGTAAGAGGAATCTGAGCCAAAGTCTTAATATCAGCATCTAAAATTGTAGGTTATTTGTTGAAAATAACATTTAGGGGTCACTAAGATTGAACTTGATGATATATCCTTTGTAGAAAAAACTACTCATAACTTATCCTGTAAGAATGAATCTCTTGTTCGAATCTTCGCAGAGAGAAACTGAACAGACTCTTTTGGAAATCTACCTGATGGGTTAACAACTAACAGTGTAAATAACCTGTCCTTCTCTGGGCCATAGGGTGCTCATTTTGTACCCTGAAGCCATTTCTTTTGATCTTTACTCAATAGCAATCATGGGGAAAAACAATAACAAAAAATAAATATCTTTCAATTCTTTCCATATCATAAAAAAGACACTCAAATCATTTCCATAGGATGGTATTATCCAAATAAAAACTAACTCATATAATATGCTCAAGGGATATTTAACTCCAATTCTGTGTGGGGAAATGGTATTAATATCAGATCATAGTATATCAGGATATATCCTAGTATCCAAATTTTAACATACTTCTTAAATTCACTTTTCCATTCTTATTGAAATCGAGTATCATTTCTCCTAATATAAATCCTTAATACTTGAATAAATTCTATGTATTTTGTCACAAAACATGTAATTTTAGGGAAAATATTTTTCTAAGAGGTGCCATATATCTTAATTCATTTAAATATAGAAGTCTTGGAAATTGTATATGTTTATTTATTGCCATTAAAACACACAACTAGGTGGATTGCGTCAATATACATTGATTAGTAACAACCTCAAGTTGCCATGCAACAATGTCAACAAAGTATTTTTTTTCCTTTAGAAAATTTGCTTTCCCATTTTAATAATGCTTATTTCATCCTTTATCATCACTTACTAACTCATTCTCTCCCCCCTTCAATTTTCCAGTGATGCCCTTGCCACATACTTCATGAGAAAATACAAGCCCTCAGATGGGAAATTCTAACAGCAAAACAAAAAGTTACTGGTGCCTGCACCTACCCATTTTGCCTATTTTTTCCTCTAATTATAAGAGAAGACTAGATTAAGTGTCCCTCTACTTGTCAGAGGCAAATCCTTCCTTTCTCTCCCTCTCCCCTCTCTCTCCCACCCTCCTCCCTTGCATATCAGGGCACTTTTGGAAGGCAGAACCACTGCCATAGAAATATGTTAAATTACATTTTTTTCTTAAATTTTCCTGGTGAGAAAAATCACAGGTGAACTAATTAAAGAGACAGCTATCCTGGTCTAGCCCAACTACTGACTCAGCATCTCTAGGAAAGGGGAATGGAATTTGGATGTTTGATAAAAAACTTCAGGTGATTTTTATCATGCAGGGAATTTAGGAGATACTGTTTGCCAACATTACTTCTGCCAGCCTCACATCTCTGCCAAATTCTTCCTTCTTTATCCACAAGCCTTCATGGCCAAACTTCTCAAATCAGAGTCTCCCAGTCTCCTCAAACTTAATATTCTAAAAATTTAGGTTTTTATTTTCTCCTGGCAGCTTCACCCTTCCACTGCCTTCCTAATTTAATTTAATACACAGGGACCTCTTCATTTGCCCAAACAGGATTAGAGCAAATCTTGGCACCTCTTTCTGGCCCTCCACACTTTGATCTAGAAGATCACTAGGTCAGCAAGTTCTGTCCCTCTCCCCCTGCCCTGCAAACACTCTCTTCCATGACTCTCCCCCCTCTGGCCAAGACCCTGCAAGAACCTCCTAGCTTGTCCCCCTGCTTTCACTCTTGCCTGCTCCAGCATCTTTGCATGTAGCCTTCAGAATTTTCTCATCAAAATATATGTGATATAATTTCAGTCATCTTTTTATAACCGACTTTGAGTTCCCATTGTACTCAGAAAAAAAATCTAGACTCTTGCTGGTGGTTTAAATAGCCCTTCTGCTGCAATGTCATTGCTTTTATTCACATATTACTTCCTTCATTTTTCAATAACTATTTATTATAAGCTAGTCTCCTATGTGCTAGGCATGTATAGACTCTGGAGAACAGTGAAGAGGGCAAATATGGTTCCTACCATTTTAGGGCTTACATTATAGAAAATGTACAATAAACAACAGACAAGTACAGATTATAGGAAGGAAGTAAATAGATCATTGTGACGGATAATCAAAGGGTGGTGGGCAAGAGCCCTCTGTGGAGGTATTTGAGCCGAAACCTAAAGAAAGAAAAAAAAAACAGCTGTTTAAAGAGCCCCACCCCCACCCCCAAAATGTATTCTTGGCATAGGAAAAAAAAACTGTAAGTGAGTTTGGAGGGTTCTAGAAAGTAGCAGAAGGACAACATAACTGAAGAGCAGTAGGGGAAGGAAGAGTCTCTCATCAGTCTGAGAAGGCAAACAGAAGCCAGAGCACTTGAGGCTACCCAGACCATGTAAGGACTTGGGAATTTTTTTGCGATGCATGAGGAATCCATTAAGGCATTTAAAGCAGAGAAGTGACATGATTTGATTTACATGGCTGCTTTGTGGAGGGAGGGGCAAGAGTGAGGAGAGGGGCATTTCAAGCTTTCAATCTGTGCCACTTTCACTTAATATTCTAGTCTCAGTGGCCAAGTTCAAGTTCCTTCAGGAAGCATCCTTTTCCTTCATCCTCCTTCAGCATCTTGTATTAATTGAGGCATTCTCTGGCAACGTCATTTAATAGTCCACACCATTATTTTTTTACAGAGTGCCAACACAATTTTAATTCTTATGTGTGTGTTCTTTTTAAGTATCCATTACTCTGATAAACTCTAAGCCCTATGAGATCAGATGCCATGTTTCTCTTGTATTACCAGTACCAGGTTGGTACTGGTAACTAAATGACTATCGATTAAGTACATGAATATACATTTTCTAAAATAATAAATGTCCATTTCAATAGATACATGATTTAAAAAGAATTCTAGTTTTTATTCTATTCATTATATAGATTTCTGCAGACATTAGTCATAATACTAAAAGCTTAAAACTTTCTCCTAAGCAAAATTTCATGTCTCTCTCTCTGTCAACTCAACTCCAAAAACATCCTCCTCCAAACACATGGAGATTATCCCAATCTGAGTTTGTGGATGGCACCAAGGATTCAAGTTTCTGAATGACTTATTTAGATTACTATACAGAATTACGCCTATCAAGTCCATTAGGAAAAATAACATTATTCTATCATTCCTATGGAGATGATGTTTTCCAGAGTCAGACTGAGTCTAGTTAGTTTCACGGCAAAATTTATTTCATATACATTATAGAAATCCTTCTACGATGCATCATTTCACTTTTCAACCTTCATTAGAGTTAATGATTCATAACAGAGTCATTCCCAGAGAATCTGCCACTAAGAGTGTCTTTGTGAATATTGCTGCTGAAAGTGGGAAGATATATAAGCAGATGGTCAAGGTGTGCCAACTAAAAACTTAGATATTGCAAGAGGTGGTGAGAAGAGAAGGGAAGTTATATTAAATTTTATATTGTGTTTGTCTTCCAGTAATTGATTTATTTTCCTGAAAGTAGTGTAATTGGAGGAGACATACATGAATTTGACGTTTAGACAGTACATCGACATGAAACCACAGATGTTCAGTTAGCAGTTACTTCGTGCCAGCCATTCTACTAGGCCCTGTGGTGATTAGCTGTAGAGAAGAAGTAACTTTTGAATGCTGGATGAAATATCATTAGGCAGATAAGATCATACCAAGCTAGGGGAACATTGTGCAAAGAAACAAGATACAC